TTTTTTTTTTTTTTAGAGAGGTAGCCTATAATACAAGCTATCGTCCGGTACCCACAAATACATCATACTCCTCTTCATGCCCGAGAACGAGCTGCTGGCGCGAGGGGTGGCTTAAGCGTTCGTTGATTGGCCGGTTTACTCTAACAGATGGAAGGACGCATACAGCCAAAGTAATTTAATCCATGAAATGATGTGCGTATTAGTATGCATGTATGTATGTGTGTTTGAGCGTGTGCCCTGGACAGTCGAAGCGACGACGAGTGAGTGTTCTATGATTGATTGTAGATGACACAAGACTTTTCTATTTGGAACTGGCTCATTTCTGATTGTCGTCGTCCCCGAAACCATGTAGCGGGGCACCACATCTCTCTGAATTTGCTAGGTGGGGGTGTGGTGAAATATTGTATGTGTTGTTAATTGGAGAGCATCCATCGGTCGGATAGTCTTGTTGCCAGAGGATCAAGAGGAGGATCGATAGATCGTTCCGCGGAGGGGAAATCGGGTATATGCTTGCCCCAGGTAGGCCGCATTTCTTGCGTCTTCTACTTGAAAGTTGCAATGAACCGCTTTTCCTCCCTAATAACATGTTCTTCGGTGAGAAGATGTACCACCTTCGCTCTTCATCGGGGACGAAAACGCTCTTCGCGCAAATTTTGTCGCTGTTCGTCTATAGAGAGGTGGGGGAACTACCTATCTCACTCGAATGATTGATCCCCGAATAAATTGCGTTTTCATCTTCGCAAAGGCTGGCTGTAACGCTCGCTCTAGGTGAATACTTCGCGGTGTCTTCAGCTTGACGCGGCGGGCAAGTGAGTCTGGTCGGGGTCGGCAGTAACTCGAGCGGTAAATATTCCTGCGAAAACATTCCACATTCATAAGGCATGACGTTCAGTCAGCATGTACACGAGGTGTGTTTCCGGCAAATATGCAATGGCGTAGACGAATCAACTGTAATGAGGGCGCGGAACCCGTGCAGAGTAAGCAATGAAAGAAAAACCCGAGGCACTTTCCAACCTCGTTTATTATCGGTGAGACGGAGCCTCACGCTCGATTGCATGACTATCGATGATATCCTTTTCCATCATATCCGATGTGATTATGTTGCCCCCTTCTGTGCAACCACCGAAGGAGTTTTGTCGAGTGTTAAAAAGTTATCATAAAAGGAGCACAGGTTGTGTGTTCCGCAAAGCCAGCGTACAAAGCAGTGCTTGTCTCCCCCCCACGATACAACACCCGCGATCGGCACACACCCATCACGTACTACAACACAGCATTTATATCCTGCGCGAGATTCCGTGCCATGTTCAGTGGGAAATTCGACTCCGCAGGAAGCAGCATCAAACAAGGACAACACACGTCCGACTCCGCAGGAAGCATCAAACAAGGACAACACACGTCCGCCCATAACACCGAAAAGGCTTGCACCCGACGAACAGTGGCCACAGCAGTTACAAAAGATTCTGCTGAAGTCGAGGGTGGCCACACATCAGTTACACAACGAGGCATTTTTCTGTCGTTCCGGGAGAATCATTCTTTTCTCGAGATGAGACGGAATGGTGACCACCACACAGGCCCTCGCTTGGCTAGTGACTTGATGCGTGACGCACACAACAACAACTGCACTACCGTGAACGCCGACTGACTCGTTTGTCAGGTACACAGCGACACCCAACTGGCATAGCCAGACAGGGTCAGGTTTATACATACAGACGCCCTCATCTCCCCACAACCGACATGCCGTACCTGCGTGTGCCGGATAAAAGCTGCGGCACCGCTGAAACTAGGAGCACAGCCAACAGGGATCGGACAAAACAAACGAACACGAACGAGCAACTCAACAATCGGGGCCAGTGTCTGGCCTTGTCCCTCACCCAACCCTCGCCCCGCACCACTTGCGTAACGAGTCAATACAACAAAACACACCCAACAAAAATTACCTCCACATTTTCCTGAACCTGCAACAACGTTGCTGAGCGTGTTGCGAATCGTAGCAACACATACACCTACACCACCAGAGAAATGGCATGTGCACCGGAAGCAGTTGTCCTGCGTAATGAGATACGGTATTGTAGGCCTAGCACACGCGGTACGTTGCGCATGTACCACTTCACGGGCCCACGTCATTATCGAGAAAGAAACGCCAACAGTACCCCGCGTGTATACAAGTTGAGGGGATTTCCCTAGTAGCAAGAGGGAGCGAAAGCGAAGTGGCGTGATTGCTCTCGGCAGATGTGAAGACCGAACACAAAGCGCCACCACCCGACAAAGGCAAAATCCAACACAAAAGGCAACGGACACGGGGTTGGAGACGGGGTCGCCGCCGCTGCCGCCGCTCCCCGATATCGAGTTCCCTAGGCCCTGCACGCTGGTGAGCTGATGTGCAACACCTCGTTTTGTATCGCGCGCCCGTCATCCCACAAGAACAACCCCGCCGGCTATTTCCCACCGACCGGACCGAAGCACAGCCGACTAGTTTCCACGCCTCACCCCTCGCCCATTAGCCAAAGGCCACCGGAAGAATCTAGATCTGCCTGAGAAGGATACCCTCTGCCCCAACACCCGGCGAGAAGGAGAACGCCATTCCCGTCTGGTAGCCGGGCTTGCCCTGTGCGAGCGCGGCGTTGTGGCGCTTGAAGACCCTGCGAACCCCACAGGAAGAAGGGCCGAAAAAGCGGAGGCATACGTTAGGCGAGTCGCAAAGCGAGTGACTTGCTGACAGGTTGCTGACAGACTCCATGCGAACTGCAACGCTAGCGCGGAGCACAGGTGGCTGAACGTGTGGGGGCTATACCCCCGGGCTTCGCGATCCTCATTTGTGCGCACAAGCTACACTAGATGCCCCGCCTTTTCCTCTTGGCACGTGAACCATTCTGTTCCTCACCTAGACAGCACGAACATAACGGAGGGCGAGAGCATGTTTCCGTACTCCCCGAGCACAGCCCACGAGTCCGCGGTCTGCTCCTCCGAGAGGCCAAGGCCGTTTTGCGCCTCCTCGATGATACGGCGGCCTCCAGGGTGCACGCACCAGAAGTCGACTGCAACGAAGGTTGCCAGGAGGGGGGGGATGAGGGCAAGGAGTTGGTTTGACCATACAGCACTTCACAGGGCTGTATCCCGAAAGATGAGGTTGTCCGACGGAAAGGGGGTGCGACAACGTTCAACGGGGGGGGGAATCAACGGTTCCACAAAGAGAACGAGGGGGGCGGATAAGTGTTGGCAATTTTCTTCTAATGAAAAGCGGGACTGCGAGATCCGACCCTCGGACAACACGCGAGAAATGAACTTGATTCGGCAACTGATTCAGCGACATTTTGTGTTCTCACCGTCGTCGCGTCCGAGCTTGTGCTTCTTGAGGAAGCCGTCCGCGAAGAAGGCGATGTTCTTGGCGATGTACTGGGGCAGGAACTTGGACAGGGTGCACGTGATACCGTTGGGCTTGATGGCAAGGGTGATTCCGTCTTCGGTGCCTTCCATGAGCCACGCGTGGTTGTCGACGATAGCGAGGGTTCCCTGAGAAGAAACAATAACGTCGGAACAAAGGACCATGCGCAGGGGACAGGATTACTAAATCAAAATTTGTATGTTCAATCTCTTCCACCGAGATACGCAGTCTACATAATCCCAGAAATTATCCGTAAAACGCAGCCTCTTTTTCCCTCACAAACAGCTGCAGAACGCGCCAACAACCATCTAGCGGCGCCAACGGCGTAAGCCAAATCCCCCCGGTACAGGTACCGTCCAACGTACCTTGGGGCACTCCGACTTCCTGGCCCCCTTGAGCACGGCGGCCGCGCACCCGTCGGCAAAGATGGCGTGCAAGATCGCGTCGTTGATGTTGTCGTCGAACGTCGTGTGCACCGAGGACAGCTCGACGCAGATCATCAGCGCATACTTGCCGGGGTTGGCCTGAGAAGAGAGTAAAGAAACGGCGAGTGGCGGCGGTCCTCACCGGTTAGGTGCCTTCCTGAATAACCGAACGTCTTGTTGATGGAGCTGCTGAGTGCTCCATGACGGCGCATATACCATATCGATCCACCCGAGAATAGAAGGCACCATGATACTTCCGTCATTGGCATCCGAGTGAAACAACGTCCAGATGGCTCCATCTAGTCTCCCGACGGCTAGTCCTGAGAAAAAAGAGGGGGCACGCAACAGAATTGCTTAACACCTTTACAACAACCGGAGTAATACTCACGGTAACGTAGTCGTTCGCGTTTCGGAAGCCGTTCATGGCGGCGGCGCAGCCCATGAACCCGATGAGGGTGCGGTCAACGGAGCGCGTCAGGCCGAGGTTCTTGATCAGCTCGCAGTCGAGGCCGGGGCCGAGGAATCCGGTGGAGGAGACCACGACGAGCTTGGAGATGTCCTCGACATTGAGGCCGGCCTCCTTGATGGCGCGGCGGGCGACGTCGGACACGAGCGGGACGGCCTTCTCCTTGAACTTGTCCAGGCGGACGTCCACGGGCACCTATAGGGAAATATATAAAGAAAAATTATATATCAACACTTCATCAATGGGAGCCGCGAGGAAAACAAGTACAACCAGACAAAAGCATGGGTGGGGCATTTACTTCTAGCAACCTCGTACGGCTAGACACTGCAAAAGATGAAAATGAATGCTGCTCAAATACAGCTGCTGCAGAGTCCGTCCGACTACAATCGCAACGGTCCGGTCCAGACAATTTCCGGCGGGTGCTTTAATTCTTTGTGACATGGCCGTGAGGGCGCACAGCTTTCACTGGCAGCGGCAACGATATCAACCATAGCAAACTGTGACGCGCACTCCAAGAATCCTCCAAGATGGCGCCGTCATGCACACATCACGGCAAGGCAGGAACCAGAAACGTAACAGCAGCACACTGTGCGATGCACTCAATAGTCAAAGTTCTCATGCACGGCACAAACGAAATCACCGTCGACACGTTATATCATGATTTGTATTTCAGCAGTATGACCGAACCATGATTAAAATCTCCTCAGGAAAAAAAACACAACCAAACGCACTCCAACAGCACACACACCTGGTAGCTGCCGTCGGCCGGGTAGAAGAGGGGGTCACCCTTGGCCGCCCGGGCGGGGGTGAAGTCCGGCACGGCGAAGTAGCGGCTGCCGATGCGCGAGTTGCCGTAGATGCGCTCGAGGACGGGCTTGATAGACTCGAGGCCCGGGCACTTAGAGGCGACCGCGAGGGCCTCGTTCTGCGTGCAGCGGTACTGCGGATTGCCGATGGCCATCCCCGCGATGACCGGGTACACTGTTTGCTCGTCCTTAGACTTTTTGAACGACTGCATCACTGTTGTTTTTTTAACGTGTACGCACGGCGGAGGTGATGGCAGAGGAGTCAGCACGGGGGAGAGCTTTGCATGGAAGACTTAAGGTTAATTACATTCACGGCAGAAGGAACATGATGTGATTGGCGGGCATCATCAATTTTTGACAATCTTCTCGTGCATTAGTCCGTGATGCGGGCAGATTATATCCTGTTGAGTACAGCACAAATCGTGCTTCGGCACTGAACGGATTTCCCAGTCCACCTCTCGATACTGCAAGGCTCTGCAGGGAGAGAACAGGCCAAGGAACGTCCCGCATGCTTCCGATTTTCTAGTACAGTGCAGTATTAGTAATGGTTGGTGAGGGCGTGCTAGCGTGAAGCCTGGTACAGAACCTGTTGGTTGCTCCGGTTTTCCTTTCAGAACAACCACCCAAGGCAATACTCTGGGGTGCTGGTTATCCCGTGCTAACACTTGTGCAAGCCTTCTCCAGCAAAGGCGGTAGAAGGGCGGTACTATTTACCGCTGTAGAGGTGTGGTGACCCCGGAACTTCGCTAGACAGGGTGATCAAACCTACAGTAGTAGATCAAACCTCGGACCGGTTCACTGCTGTGCTGCAGAGAGAAAGCTATGCATGTCTCCCGAGATTTGCGTGCTTGGCGGTGTGTTGGTTTCGAGTCGCATCATCATCGTTTAATATCACTCGTGGTGGATGTGGCACCAGTTTCGGAGCACCAAGTTTCGGACGCCCATCTATCACGGGACGCACCATTTCGGTGTATCAGCGAGCTGCGCCGTGCTGCTGCTTCTGCTAGGGCACAGGGTAAGGGAATTTGGACAACAAAAATGGATCCCTCCGTTGCTCAAGACACTTCACCCTACGATCACTCTCAAAAACTGTGGCTTGGGCGAACAGAGTCGGTACGGTACGACTTGAGGGACAATGCTTGCCTCGTATGACCACACACAGCGGCGGTGATGAGGGCGGCCTGGGTGAAAACTACGTCACTGCCACAACCACACCCGACCGACACATGGACAACAGCCTGTTGCGGGATACACCAGGTCCGATGGTAATTAAACACAGGAGACCATCCGCCGCTTGTCAAGGACATCGCTTCTCTGCATCCAAGACCTACGACGACGGTGCTGGTGTTGAAAGTAAGTGGCGACAGGCAAGCTAAATACATGCCTTGTTTCAATGGGGGGGATCGATGTTCGCCATACAACACCGCGGATACATGAAAGACAACATGGGTTTGTTTCGTACCGTCACGGAATTAGGCGTGATCGATCATCACGCCCATCGTTCAAAACAAACATTAGCAGTACACGATGCGACCCGGACTCCAAGAAGCCAAGGGCGGTGGTGTTGATGGTGCGCTACAGGCACAACCGAACCAGGAGACATCTCTCCGATGGCCGCAGCAAGCACTGCTACGCTTGCCCACCGGTGACCATCTCTCTTGCGGTCTCGTCAGCTCATCAGAGATGTTTTCACCTCAAGTGCCATGGATACGCGGGTAGAGACGCTAGTAACACTGAATAACTCACCAACGAGCAGAGACACCACGAGGCACGCCAGAGCGACCTGGACAGTCGGGTCAGCCAGCATAGCAACCGCAGCAGAAGACATGGTAGAAGAGCAGGTGGTAGTTCCCGACTGCTGTGCTGCTGCTGTTGTGCTGCGGAGCAGTACGTGGACAGGGTGTGGGGAGGAGCTGATGAATGTGAATGATGGGGGCGGGGACCTCCGTGCGGAAAAACCGGGAGCCTGGGAAATTGCGTGATCGGATGTGGTTCCATGATTGTTGTGGCGGCCCAGTCTCGGCACGTTGTTCGCAATGGTTGGGGAGCTGTGCTGTGTTGGTTGTGGCCCTAGGGTTAACGACGCAGACAGACCACGCACACGGCGGTCCGTGAGAAAAAGTGCGTGCCCCGCTGCTAGCGTGCCGTGCTCTTTTCCCACGTCAGGGCCTAGTCGTACGTTGTGACGAGGGAAGAAGAAAGTGGAGCAGCAGGGCAGGCCGATAACCCTGCAGCAACTGAACCGCAGAGCAGCACATATTTACATCCGATACAGGAAGGACTGCTGAATTACTTGGATGAAGAATCGAACGGGTGTCTGTACTCTGAATGTTCTTGACCCCTCTCTACTTGGTGTTTTTGGGTGCATGCAGCACAAGAGAAAGCGCAGGGGTTCCTCGAACCACGGGGTACCGATACAAGATCAAAAAGCGGTAGTTTTCAAGCATGCATGCGGGTGGAGACGTGAACATGAGAGACAAGGAAACGTGCCTGCTGTGTGCTTGTGATGGGAAGAGAGCGAGTTCACGACCAACGGATTTTGGGCGCCTAGCAACTTTTTCCCAGCATTTTCTCCACGTACAAGCTCAGCTCGATCCCGACGAATCCCCGCAAGCCAAAACGTTGGTACCTTTGCACAGCAGTTGTTCGCAAGCAAGTGCTGGTGGTTGGTGAGATGACTGGTGACAGAGTAGATGTCTTGCCTTCGTTTCGAGAGAAGAAGATCCTACACGGCCGGGTGATTCAGATCGGAAGCAAAACCCTAGGAATTTAGATACAAGGCAGTATCGCAAGCTCAAACGCGCTCAAACCGCAAATTGTTATGCAGCGCGCGGGGACCAAATTTTGTGGAGCTGAAATTCGGAATGTCAGGAGGTGGCTTCATCCATTTCATTGTACAATACTTAGACTACTTGTCTGAGAGACCGTCACGACTGGATCCGAGAGACCAATGACGTGTTCACTGCTGTTGTCAGTCATGTATGACGTGGGACAAGCAGTCTTGGAGTATTGATTGCCATTGAATCATGAGTCATGGAATTCCAGAGCGGCTTGTTTTCGTTATACGTGCGCTGTAAGGCAGCAGAGTGTCTAAAATGGTCACAAGAAGTATGCAGAAATTAATGCCCGAGTAGTCTAAAAGCATCAGAACGCCAAATAAATAACACCAAACGCAAGCCATGAACGACACAAAACAAAAACACGACAAAAACCGTAATACGTACTTTAACTCGTTGTTAAGACATTGAAACATGTTGCCCTTCGAACCGAACGTTCTCGAGAGCGGAGACCTGGAGGTGGGTTATTCCAGCTGGCATGCATGAGTTCTTCCAAAAAAGCACCTGGAAAAATTGTACGAGAGAAAGACTCAATACATGGCGACACAAAACAAGAGCGCCAGACGACAACCAACAACTAAAGAACACGAATCGAAATGTACCCCTACGCCAATGCCACATTTGTACCAGAGTTCGAAATCGGTACCGCCACCCTTTGCCAAGACACAAACTGTTTTAACACGACCGGACCCACCCTTGTTTTGTTTCGTTAACACTCGCCGCCCTACAATGTACAACTCCTTGCGTGCGATGCTGCTGCTGGCTGTCGGGTGCGGCGCTAATCGTAGTGCCACCGCTGCCGTAACTTACTGCCCAAGAACCTTATGGGCCCTTTCTACAAATAATCAACAACGTTGCCGCCGTCGAATTTGGTTGTTCAATCTACTCTTAACGCGGAGAAGTCCTGGTCGGCGCCTTGCCGTCCGTTTTCTCGGAATCGAACACGTTCATGTCCATTTGTGGACCCAATGACCAGTCGTAAAACACCTGCGCCAAATAAGACGTCGCGAACAAAGGCCGGTGGGGGTTGATGGAGAGGGGGAGCACTCATGTTCTGCATGCCTCAGCTGTTAGTCTTCGAGAGGGAGGACAAGTGCAACGAATAAAACACGTTTGAGGTGTGCACCTTGGTTCAAGCCGGAAGAGCGCCGGGTACGCCTTCTCCCGATCGGCACCTTGCCAAGCAAAACACGCAACACACACCTGCCGCTTCATCTCCTGGTAGCTCTTGAAGTCGCTCAGCGTGTACACCTTCGGGAAGGCGTTGGGCTCCTTCTTGCCGCCGCCGGCCGACTCCCTCTTGACGCCTGATCCCCCTGCCGCCGCCGCCGCCGCCGCTGCCGCCGCCGCTGCCGCAGACGTAGACCTAGTCGGCCGGCCCCCTCTCTCGCGCTTCTTGGATTGAGCCCGTCCCGTGTTGTTATCGCCCCCGTCGTCGGTGTCCATGGTGTCGGCCGCTACCTTGCCGCCACCGGCGGCGGCCCTGCTGCTCCTCTCGTTGTCGATGGCTGCCCGGAGCTTGGCCTCCAGGGCGCGCTTCGCGTTGGACGAGAAGTTGGTATCGACGCCCTGGAACGGAAGGTGGGTCTGCTGGCCGACGTCGTACTTCTATTTCACACGAAAAAAGGGATAAAGCAGGCAAAAAAAAAACAAGTGTACGGGCCGGGGTTACGAAACAATGCACTTCGTTCCCGACAGGACGGGGAGAAAATAAGGAGGAGGCGGAGGGAAGGGGTCGCAGGAGGGGGATGGGGAGTACGTTCTAAACAACGCGAAGAGACCAATCGACGAGCCTTGAAGGAAAACACCTCTCCTTATTTGTGCTATCACGCGAAGCCTTCTCCGAATATCTACAAACCCCAAGGAACGCCCCCCCTTTTCTTCGCCGAGCCTCCTCGTGCTCTCTCTCTCTCTCTCTCTCTCTCTCTCTCTCTCTGCTTGCTTGCCTCGTCATAGAAGCCTAGCAGCAAACCCTTCTCCGAGAACACCGTAAGCTGCTTGTTGCCGCCACAGCCGCCGCCGCCGCCGCCGCCGCCGCCGCCGCCTTCCCCTGCCGCGCCTTCCGGTAGCATGATGTACTGGGCCCTTTCCTCGGCCGGGGTAAGGTCATCCTTGGGGACGAAGGGGGCCACGCTGCCGGTTCGCGGGAGGCCTTCTTTTTCTCCGTCGCGCGATGCTCCTCCTCCGCTGCTGGCTGTGGTTGGGCGCGCAGGGTGGCGGGGGCACGTCGTAGTCGTTACATCATTGACCTCACATCCTTCAACGCCGGGGCGGAGCGATTCGCCCGCCCAGGCTACGTACGTTTCACAAGGACGAACCAGAAGCTGGTCATCATCATCATAGGGAGGGTTACAGTAGGAGGCTGCGCGAGGCGGGTGTTACGGGGCCCCGAGAGTGGCACGGCAAAGGAGTGTCACCCAACAACGGGGAATCAGCCACGAGTGCACATGTCACGCTAAATAAATCCTGGTCTCCGTTGGAAGCGACGCGCTGCAAAGCTCGTTGTTAGTAAACTTGATCGACTTCATAAGTCGCGAGGGAAGGGATTGCTGTACCCTTCTCGCGAAAAAAATATCTCAAGGCAGGAACCGCACGAGGGGGTCCAACCCCCCCCTTTTATGTGACCCCGGTTGGGTCGTCTAGCTGGTAGAAGTGGAGGATAGGGGCCAGAGGGGCAGACGACAGAATCCAATGATGGGATAAAAATAAAAATAAAAACACCATGAGACAACGGCTGCTGCCAACAATAACACTGCTCCTCCCTCTCTAAAACCAAGCCCCTACTCATCCATCAACCACCATCCCGTCACTCACTCGGCACCATGCCGTTGTCGAACATGCCGCCGAACCCAATGGAGAGCCCCCGCGACATGCCGCTGCCCGCCCTCAGCAGCTCGTGGGACTGCACCGGGGGGAGATAGTGGCCTGATTGATCTGCCGCGCGAGCCACGATTGATTGTAAGCAGCAACAAAAAAAAGCGCCGAAAGGTCAGAGCGGCAACAGCATCAGGACATTTATACAGGGCCAAGTTAGGTCAACACGAGCGGATACCAGAGGCGAACACAAACGCAGAAAGCAGGGGGGGGGGGGGGGTCATGTGCTGCTTGCCTTGGTCACTTGGCCAATTGACCGTGCATCTCTTACGAGACGAAGCAAGGATTCTCGGCCCAGACGAGAATGGACAGACCTCCAACTAGTCGGGGTGCTCTCCAAAACAATCTTTCGGTTGGAGGAGGGGGGCTCTGGAGTCGAGATCACCCAACAGCAGAAAACTGGCGGGGCATGCTGACCGACCGCGCTATGCTCTCGCATCCCTACAATGCCGGGACGGAGCGATATGTCGAGTTGGCGCCGGCCCATCAGGCTACGAATCACAAGGATGAACCAAACGCTTGGAGGGAGTGGGGGGGGAATAGGGGTGACCTTTGATTGCTGTGTGCATATCATACACCTAATGTACAACAGCGTTTACCTCGCATCGAGGTCAAGGGGACGGAGACGAAGTTGCCGTTGCCATCCTCCCGATCCCTCCCCGGGGGAGACTCGCGTATCAAGCTTCCCCCTGGACCACCCTCTCCAGATGCACCTTCCGGCGCCTGCATGCATCAGTACACACGCGATCCAGTGCAATGTGTTGGGAGTGCATGTATCAGTACGAGATTAGCGTTTATGTGTTGTGCGCGAATGCGTCAGTAAGTGGTTCAGCGATGAGTGCGTACATCAGTACGTGGTTCGGCGACTACGTGTTATGAGTGCGTGCATCTGTGATGATTCCGTGTTACGTGTTTGTGAAGCCAGCCTGCTCGTTGCGGGGCATCGACTTTTCTTACTCCTCTCGGTACATTTCCTGGACGCACGAGGCGGGATCACATGGACAGGAGGATTAGTTCTTGTCTCGCCTTTCTCCACCTTCTTATACCTTCGTTTATTGTCGTGACATGTGTAATAAATATAGTAGTTTCAAGGCTTTGATGCCGGGATGAAGCTAGCAACCTTGCTTTGCGGTTGCACGATTTTCTTTCTTAGCAACACGCACACCTTTCTTCTTTCCGCGCGTAAA